TGCATTCCGACGACATGATTTAACTGCCCTAAAGGGCGGCATATACTAGAGATACGGATTACTGTAAGATACGACTCAACGCCTCTAGATTGTGATCACTGTGTAGCATCAAGGCACCATACTAAAAGGTTTTGCCGCTAAGCTTACATTGACCATTCATTGATACTTGTTTACAATTTAAATAGATACAAATTAAATAAGATCGTTAGGCTGTTATTTTTTTTGTAAAAGAGCTTAAAATGGTGGATAACCTATACTGCTTTGTTGAAGCCTATCGCTTCTTCATTTGAGAAATTTCAACAATGACGTTAGGTTGTTTTGACAGCTTGCATATGCGAACTCGTTGTCAGGCAGAAAGAAGGAGATGCAGTCTTAATGTCACGGTGTTCAAGAGAGTAGTTGCCTCTTTACATATTTGACAGTAAGGAACTACTACGAAAATTCTTCCCACAGTCTTCTGAGTTTGAGAGGAGTGCATGCGACTTAGACATAAAGGCTGCTGTTGACTTACCACGGATGGAAAGTGTGAGAAAATTCACGCCAGTGTATGTTCAATATATTTCATAGCAAGCAGAGATCATAGAAGTTGGCAGAAGAACAGGAAGGTGCAACGATGAACATGCAGATTTCAGTTTTTACGTAAGAATCTATTCTTTGAAAACAGATATGAAGCCGCATCATTATTTTTTGCGTCATCGTGAAAACAATTCCTCTCAAGGCGGAGGAGACGAGGAAGCGTCTGATGTACTTCACCGTTTTCTCTTTGTGGTACTGGCAAAGTCAAACGAAGGATCAGTCGAAAGGCGTTGAGTTATGAAGCATTTCGGAGTGACTGCAAGAAACGTGGCGATGCGAACAGCAAATGTACGCACTTGCGAATCCGCCGAACGAGCATGTTTGACAAAAACGAGGCCGATGTGCCATGAGACAAATGCAGTCACGATTTTTAGTGGTCGGCAACGGTAAACGAGTTGAAAATGCATCTGAATAGCAGAAAGGTAAACGGAATGAATGTTTGTAACCGTTTGAGTCTGACAGCTTCGCAGAGGGCACCATGCTTGAGTCCTGTTTTCCACTGAGCCCATGGTTTTGCATTTTGGCAGTTTTCATGCAATTAATCAACAACAAAATATTTTGAAGGTCAGCACCTAAGTGTCTAACCTTCTGTTTTCTATTCCATACAGAGGTAGTCACTTAGTACCAAAAAAATGAAACGCGAACATCTCTCGACGCTAAGTTCCACATACTTCATACTATGTAACTCCTGTCTAGCAACGGGTGGCAGGACAAAACACACGTCAATATGTTGCTTGAAAATTTAGCGTGTTTAAGCCATTGTAAGACATAAAGCAGATGGCGACTGTTCGTTTGAAAAGAGCATATTTCACATCTGTAGAGTTATCGTGATACTGGAAAATGAACTATCTCGCTGTAATGAAATTTTTTAATGAGCACTACAGAGAAACTTAACTATCATAACCATGACCATGTCACTGGTATCCCATGACTGGTGGCAAACGCGATTCCGTCATCAAACAAAGCTACTGTGAATGGCTGCCTGTCGAATCTGTTCTGTCAAGTGGAAGCCAAAAATCTGTAAAGGAAAATGCGTGAATTTTTTCTGCACGGATTTCAGGTATGCAACTCAGACCAACAAATGGATGAGAAACGGAACCAACAAATAAGATGCAATCCAGAAACGTAGTAGTCAGTTCTCTGTCTGTTTTATCGTTGGTCTCCCAAAAACATAAGGCTGTCATTATTGTGAATTCGACCTTAGTTGGAATGATCAGAAGGATAAAAAATAAAAAATTTAATATATCTGCCCAGTTATAATGGTTGAAACAAATACCGCCATTTGCAAATATATGAATATTAAAGCACTGAAAAAATGGTTCAGTTTTGTTTAAGCAAATTTCCACAAACGCTACTCGCCGTCAGCAGCCTTACATTGGCTTGCTGTAGAAATGCGCGTGTGCCGCTTTTAGGCGCTTGCTGATGGCTTTCACCTGAGCGACAGCAAGAACAAAATGTGTCTGTCTATAAGCAAGAAGCGTACCGGTCTTTCGGCGGTCGTCTGGCTTATCCGGCTCGATCAGTGACCGGATGGTGAAACTCTTGCTGGCCATCGAGGCTTTCGACGGAGGCGAGATTTCAGTCTCTTCGTCCGGCTGGCATCAAAGGAACGAAGGAATGGCGAAAAGAAGTAAAGGGACGCGCTCAAACCTGACGCCGATGTGAAGGAGCAACCGCAAGAAGGACAAGTGACGAAAAGCGGTGACGAGGCTGGTGAGAGCGAGCGAATGGCACCCGACTTGCTGTCCGGCCAATCGCCGCCCTTTCACCGTCCAGGTGCTTCTGACTTCGTACAAATTATCGCTTATTCCTATACGGCCGTCATGAAGAGTCGTTTTTGCGACGCGCATAGCGCTGGAATTGACCAATCGTATGGCGACATTGGCGGACTCTGATTGGCCACCGTCTGAAGTGCAGTTCGCACCGCACATTGCTGACACATGACTGGTGTTAATTTTCAAACAAACAATTGTCTGATGATCGCCCGCTCCCGACCGTCAGAAGCTATTCCGGTCGTGCGTCCGTCCTGACGTGATTCACGTTCGTTTGCTGCTACTGCCGCTGGCCTAGTCGAGAGTCTACCGACACCATCTACCGGCATACGGTAGGTAGGTACTCAGACAACATCTCTCGCCGCCCATCCGTCTACCCATCACTCAGCTCGGATGCGGCGCTACCGTCTACCCATCGCCCCTGAGGGCGAACCAACGAACGAATGGGCACATCTTGTCAGCTCTGGCGTTCGCCCATCAATCACATTGCTTAGAGACTATTTGTACGCCGCTTCTTGACATCCGGCCGTCCATCGTGCGAACTCCTTCGCATCTTTTCACTGCATCGACAATGAAAAAAGTAAAAGACGTCGTTCGTCTCTTTTGTTGTCTCCGACACTGCGGATCAGATGAAAGAAATGGTTGAGTACATTTACAAAAATTAATCATTATTGTAGAAATAGACCGCTCCGATTGGCTCTTTCCAACCAATTGCATTGAAAACGAGTCCGGATTTCATAATTCCATATGATTTCAGTATTGAAAATAAATCCAAATAGATGGTTACCGAAGACCATGACAAAATCAGTGCGTAGCAAACAGCCACTGCGCTTCTAACACTACTCAGGGTCCTGTAACTAAAAAGCGTTTCATCGACC